AGGGTTAGGGTTAGTTTTAGGGTCAGGGTTAGGGGTTAGGTTTAGGGCTATGGTTAGGGTCAGGGTTAGGGTCAGGTTTAGGGTCAGGGTTAGGGTTAGGGTCAGGGTTAGTTTTAGGGTCAGGGTTAGGTTCAGGACATCGTTTATCTTCCGATTTCGTATAGACAGTAAAGTTTCGTTTCCACCTCAGAAAGCTGCTAGTCACATGACCTAATCAAAATGGCCGACTTGGATATGGGAGGAGTTGGATAACCAGAGGCTGCTTGGCCCCGTCCAGGGGCGCCTTCGGGGGGGGTGAGCTCCATCTCTGGTTGGCTTCTGGGGCTCTTAGTTTCCGTTGTGTCGGCCATGTTGTGGTAACCGTGGCGACGGCAGGCGGGGAGACGTGTCGGCGTGGTGTGGCGAGGGATTACCCGTGTTACCTGTATCCGTTAGGCCTGCCCCCCCCCCCCCGGGGCCGTGTCGCCTCTCATTACTCGCGTCCTCCAGCGGGGATCGGCCGGCTTTAGCTTTACAATTCAATTCAATTTTATTTTATTTATATCGCCACATTCAATTCAATTCAATTCAATTCTATTTATATAGCGCCAAATCACAACAACAGTTGTCTCACAGCTTTCCAAACAGAGCAGGTCAGACCCTACTCTGAAGTTAATTACAGAAACCCAACAATTCCCACCATGAGCAAGCACTAGGCGACACAGGCAAGGAAAAACTTCCTTTAATATTATTTATTTATTTATTTATTTTTACCTTGTCCTGTTCAGCATTATGGTAGCAGAACTGAAATCTGCGTACCGTGCTATGCTGAGCAAAATTGCTTTGCAAAGGGAGGCTTTGTTAGTGAGAAGCCCCCCTTGATTACCCAAAACTTCTTTATTTATTCATTTTTGTTACCAAACTTCCATATGTCCAATAATGCCGACAGACCTGACCTGACAGAGGGACAGGGGGGAGGGAAGGGTAGTGGAAAGGAGAGAGATCCTTTAGAAAGGGAGAGAGGGGGGAGAGAGAAAAAAATATATATATTTTAAAAAAAGAAGGAGAAAGAAAGACAACCAGAGCATATGACCAGCTGTTATTTCTGCAAAAAGGACTCTGTTCTTTGTGGGAAATCCGAGTGGAGAACCTGTAGTAGCACCTGGGAAGACAAAAGAACAAACACAAACAAGCACTAGGCGACACAGGCAAGGAAAAACTTCCTTTAAAACGCGGGCCGGCCCTCGGCAGAAAGGCTTTTTGCGGTAAGCGGGCGGGTAAACGGCTTTGCGGGCAGATAAACCCTCACCTGTTTAAGTGACATGATGGACGCCTGCCCGTCAGCCATCAAACCAAGACGTCTTCAACATGGAGCTTTTGTTTCAAAGTCCGAGTAAAGAAACGGCTGATTCGGCTCCAGGAAACACTCCTAACATCTATTTAAACTCTATTATTAGAGTTTAGGAATGCTAATAATTATTCAAAACTCAATTTTTGTATCCATTCTGTTATTTTAAACTGTTATTACAATAATTAGCTAATAGGTTTTTTTCGTTTTTT